TGGTATGGTATGGTATGGTATGGTATGGTATGGTATGGTATGGTATGGTATGGTATGGTATGGTATGGTATGGTATGGTATGGTATGGTATGGTGTGGTGTGGAGAGATGTGGTATGGTATGGGCTTTTAACGTCCCTTGTTACACAGTGGATTGGAACCTCCGAAATTCAGCGTTTGTCTCCGACAGGATTGGGTCAGTTGGAAAACAGACACGAAAACTCCTCAAACAATCAAAGTTCAAAAACGCCACTAAGGGAATTCGACCCAGAATCCTTCCACCTTCTCTCCATAGCCCTGTCTGACATCTCAACTGAGTTAACGCTCGCTAACAATAGCAGACGGACAGCGAAATAATTGAAGTGTACTCAACAGATCACTTTTTAAACCAGGAGATAAACAGAGATGTCAGCTTGCCCATCATGGTCGGATTTGTTCAGTTTGGAGAGCGATTTAATTTGTTGTTCTCGCTTAAACGTTTCCTACGTACAAATCGTTCAACGTAGTTCGGCATGACTGTATTTTTAGAGGCACGATCGCAGTAGAAATAATGTTTTGGGCATAAATTCAAAAAAACAACAGTGTCAGTAGACTACCATTTTTACCTTTATGCGTGAGAGGTGAAGAGCTCACTTGTTTGTTATAGAAAAAGAGCTGCATGCTGCGCGTGCATTGATTGGGACAGGAAACGTCAGAATTCTAGATCCCCGTCCTAGATGTATAAAGGTCAGATCAGGAAACCCATGATAGCAGTTAGGGGAGTAAAAATGTCAAGTATCACTGACGGGCAAGTTTCAGTTTTGTTTCGCCATGCAGAAGCTTTTAATTTATTTATTATTGGCTCGTTCATGCTTGGTGCTTCTGTAGAGCTCGTGTGGGTTCAGTAGACTGGAAAGAATGTGACCTCTTCATGAGTCATTAGTTTTCGCAGTTTGAGTTGGTTTTGGTCTGAGAAGGACTGTGGCTTGCTGCAGCTACAGCATTCTTCTTTTTTTGTCGATGAAAGCGGCAGGCCAGAACAAAACAGTAAAACAAAACAACAATGTCAGCAGAAGATAGAGCAATAGTGGAAGAACAATCAGCTTTTGAAGAATCTCGAGAAGGGACTGTAGACCTTTTCAACTCTGACAACCAATCTCTCTCTCTCTCTCTCTCTCT